TTACTACACATACATTATCAGCATGGCTAGGATAGAGCCCGGGTACCATAGATGTCCGTACATTTTCTTAGCGACCTCATTGTATAGAGAGCATTTCCTATGTTTCCGAGTAAACCTCCCAACTGGAAGAGGTTACTGTAGTTCATGTAGCATATTTACTATTAGCTAGAAGTGTCATTACCTTCATACAGTACATTTGTAAATTTGTGGAAGTATTTGGTTGTGGGAATACTGGAGGTGTCAATGCAACTGACATTCCGTGTCTAGTAGAAGGCTGTAGTGGTGGGAACTGTCCTAGAAGGCTGAGAACAGCTCATGCAGCATAAGGATTATGCCTAAAAGACTAATAATACTCTCTTCAGAAACACTGATAATGAATGAAAATCTAATAGTGATTTCAGAAAGCCCTAAATAACTTCCCCGAATCTGGAGCCATAAATCAAATTGAGATCTGTTTGGCTCTAAAGCTTATGCTTATTTCACTTGATTCAACTTCATCTAACAGAACCTTGAAATATTATGTATAATTTGATTTGCTCACAGAATTATCATATTTTATATGCAACATCTCATATATAATTTGTTTAGAGAATGGTTAACTGATTTCCTGATTGAATGTTCTTTTAATACATTTAATGGGGATAGCATGTGTTACAGTATTTGCCAGCTTTTCAGAAGGATGTTAAAACTTAATGAAAGAAACCATCAAAATTATATTAAACAAAGAAAACTTCATAATTCTGGAGTGTATTTCTTCTGTACCATTAGCCAGGAACAGAAGGGACCCACTTAGGAATGAGGATTGGGACCAGTTTGCTGAAGAGGATGAGAAGAAGAAAAATGTACTTTCCATTTTATTCAATTAGTATTACATGCTGAGCTCTGAGCTGTCAGTTGCAATGTCTGCTTCTTCTTGCGTTTTAAAAGTCTCCTCCATAAACATTCCAAGGTTTAAAGAGTTGCACAAATTAAAATGAGAATCTTTGTGTAGATAAAAGCACCTCTTTAATGTACTTCCTAATATTTGGAAATTAAATAACGTAAGTATGTAATATGATAGGTCTTCCAAAAGTTCATGAAAAATACAAGTCATAAAAATATGCATCAATTAAAAATTTAAATCAACCTAAATCAACTTAATTTTTTCATCCCAGTTTTTCCCAGCAACTCTATGAATTTCTCATACTTAATATCAGTATTTGTGCTTAAGTTGTATAAATAATTAAATGTAGTCTTAGCTGCTGCAACTGCCAGGGCTGAGCCAGTCCAGAGCCAGGAGCCAGAAACATGTTCCAGATCTCCCACATGGGTATAGGGTCCTAAGGCTTTGGGCATCCTCTACTGTTTTCCCAGGCCACATGCAGGGAGCTAGATTGGAAGTGCAGCTGGGACACAAGCTGGCGCCCGTCTGGGATCCCAGTAGATGCATGGTAAAGATTTAGCCAATAAGCTATTGCACTGGGCCCAATTGTAGAAAATTTAGAAATCAAATAAAATTCTAAGAAAATATTGACCTATAGACTGAGGTATTATTTCCATAGTGTTAAATTGCTATTCTGAAAGGACATACCATTCAGCTCCAAGGATATAGGATGGGAACAAGACTTCCTGTAAGAGCAGTGATGGTCACTCCTTTCTCGTTAAGTTCTTGCAGCCATCCAGAGAAGCTCATGTGAAGAGGTGATATGCATATCAGGTAACAACGAGAGGTCCTGATGTAGAAACTTCATTTCCTTCCCAACGAAGCTGGTAGCTATTTATGTGATTCTGTAGGGATAATTTTACGACTCTGCAAGGGGCATACCCATTTACAAGAGCACCAGGCTGAGGGAATCCTAAAGTTCTGGTTCTTAGCAGTCTTTGCAATCCTCCTGGTGTAGATGTTACTTACCAGTCCAGGGTCAGTTTTAGGGTACTTCATGTTGATGTCAACCTAGTTGTCCTATCTTGTCATCGAGTAACCAGGTAATTAAAGGTTAAATTCTCATGCAGAATCGAGGATCAAGATTTTTGTTAACTTTTTATTCACATTCTTGAACATAATTGTCGAGATGTGATCATTTTTTAAACTGAATCCTCAAAAGTAGGATTGTTAAGTCAGAAAGAATAACTAGGAAACTCCTGATGAATATGAGTTCAGCTATAGAAAAGCATATCAAATCAACATGCTTTGGGGAGTATACCCTTGTCTCACTTGGTCCTCTGCCTTAACTTGTCAATATCACTTCTTGTTACTGTCTTCCTGATAATTCCCCTTCAAGCCCCGTTAAGGCATTCTGCCATTTCATTTCATTCCTTGGCTAACATTTGTGATTTAGGCTTATCCTCCAACTGGAGTGATCTCATTTTTCTAATGAATTTCATGATTTATTTTTTGAAATATATTAGACATGTTTTCTCACTTTAGAATGATGTCCAACCATGGTTCCTCCTGAACACTCTTTGAAGTAGAATTCTGAACTCACTTGTGTCCTGCCCACAGTAGTGTTCTGAAGGCTAACTCAATGCTTTTCAGGTAGTGTTATTGTTAGGTGGCTATGTCTCTGTCATAACATGTGCGATGTTTCAATAGCTAGAGATTAGCTCTGTGATGCTTTATTTCAGAGCACTTTGTTAGTCTATGGTGCAGGCACTGTTAACTGCATTGCCAGTGTCTAGACCTATACCTGCAATAATTATTGCTTGAATGAATCAGGATCAAGTAAAAAGTCATTATTCTCATGAATTACACATTTTAAAAAGGGAAAATAAATTAGAAAGAAAAACCATTAGATATAAGTGTAATGAAGCTAATTAGCACGAGGATGATGTAATCAAATACCAAGTGGCTCCTTTATATTGGGGTGGTCAAGGAAGGTTTTGCAGAAGTGTCAAGCTGGCATTAGTGTACATAGACATTAGCCATGGAAAACTTGAGAAGTTAAACTCATCAAGTAAAACAACCTCAACCTTTTTAGAAAACAAACAGTGGCTCTGTATTCTTTTTTCTTGGCATTTCTTTTTCTTGGCATTCATCAAAGACTAGCAAAACAGATAATGCTGTAAGACCAGCAAGGTGAACCTGAAGAAAGATAATGTTCAGAAACTTGTAGTGACTGGTACACCATGAATGTTGTTAAGTCATAACTCATTCTAGGCTTTGTCTCCCACCTCCTCCATGATTCTGCATCCTGATTCTCCATCTCTCCTGGTCCCAGATCATGGAAAACTATATTGATTACTATAGCCATTCCAAGCTCTTTCCTAACAGTCTTACATGAGTTCCAACGAACCTATTGAAAATATCATCTGCTCTACATTCCATTAAATAAAATTAGATAAGCAGTATTAGTGATTAAGTTTGAAAAGAACAGGGTGGAATTTATCAAATGGTTTTCTGTAAAGCTTTCTTTGACTCAAAGATCTTATTAATATACAGAATCTAATTTGACAGGTTTAGGAATGGTCAAGAAATATGCTTTTAGGTAATGCCCACTCATGCTTCTAGTCTCATGGTCCTCACTTAAATAAGAGGACATATATTTTATAGAGTATAGGCAAGGACTGCTTTGAGTTTGGGCTGCCCATTGGAATCCACTAAAGAATGTTTAAATCTCTGATGCCCATTTTGCACCCAAAATCACTAAATGTGAATTCACAATGTGGAACTCATGAGTTGTTTTTAAATTCCCAAGTGATTCTAGCGTTTGAGAAGCACTGGCTTAGGGGGCAAAGGGTTGGGAAATTTTTTTCATTCTATTTCTCAGATCATAGACCCAACTCTAAAGCCATTGATGAGGCTCTCAGTGTTCTTTTAACATCTTTACAGATTTTTTAGAGAAATGATAAAGTAGTAGTTATTTTTCCTAGGAAATCTGTGTGCTAAAAGTTTAAATTTTCTTCTTCCATTGTTTGTGCTTTCTCCTCTAAGAGAAGGATGTAGTTCTTTCTTGCCCTTAAGCTGCTGAAATTTAAACTCTTACTATTAATGCTGAATTCTTTTGAAACAATTTTTCCTTTTTTTTTTTTAAATGCTGAGCAAATTGAGGCTACACAGTAGAGGAAAGAGGAAGACTCTACTTGGCCTTTGCCTTACAGCTCAACAAAAGGAAATAATGGAGTCTGAGGTTTGGGATAAATATGGTTGTGTCATGCTAGTGTTCTTTCTAAACTCTCAACTGATGAAAAAAGATTATACCCTACTGGAGCCCACTGTAATTAACTCTCGGACATCATTTCCATTATAAATCTAAGTTTTAAGAGGTTTCTTACTCAGCTGTAAAATTTTGCTCTAGGCTATGACTTGGCTATAGACGGTTTCAGCTTGAAAGAGGTTTTTAATATAAAAAAGCTTTTTTTTTTTCATTGAGTAAGTGGTGTGGTTTCAAAAGGAATGAAGTAACCACTGTGCCTATTCTTTGCATCTTCTCTTTTTCCCAAGATTTTTTTTATTTCTAGCAAGTGAGACCTAGTTTGTTCACATATTTTCAAATCAAATGTTTAAATTATAAAACATTTGGGGGACTTTCTGAATGAAGGAAGTGCATTTTGATGGTCACTACCAAATAAAAAGGGAGACAGATGGTCTCTGCTATTTTTTAATTTGTACTTCTAGGGTGGGGCAAGACTCTTCTTTGAAGACACTGAGTCTGTTGCTCATTTTTGTCGAAGGGAGGGGTGGTTGCAAAAGAAAAAAGCTAAACCAAACAATAGGGAGTGTATTCATTATATAGGTGCTTTTGCTGAAAAATTCCCAAGTGATTTCTAGGATGTCTGTCTGAACTACATCTTAAAATAAACATTGATTAATTTCATGGCAGAAGTATTGGTTTCTGATGATTGGTATTGGAGAATTTTACTAGGAAAACCTCCCCAAGGAATCATTGCCTTTCTCTGGGATAGCTTATTCTGTTGTGAGTTTATTAAGGAGGATAATCTTAAATTTTCTCAGTGTGCATCTCTCATTGGCCTCCTAACAAATGTCCTTTTCCTTCTAAGACTGTCCCCTTTCCTTCTAAGACTGTCATGTCCAATTGTAGAATAAAGTCCACTTCTACATTGGGGCCCAAGGACTCTAGCCTACTGAATTTCATCATTGGCTAGTAGTAGTTCATTTGAGACTTCACAACTTCATGTGTTCCAACAGACTTCACCTAAAAATAACTGAAGCAGATTATTTATAAAGCATATTTCAGTAATTGGAAGTATTCCCTTTGAAGGAGCAAATGTTATGAAATCTTAACATAAAGCTTTACATGGGCAGATGTTTTAGCACAGTGGATTGCCTTTGATGGCTACATCAGTTGTTAGATAACTGGGTTTGATTCTTACCTTTCTCTCTATTTCCAGTGAAGCTTCTTGCTGCTGGACCCGGGAGTCAGCAGGCAACATCTCAGGAACTTGGCCTTGTGTCACCCTCTTGGGACACAGTGAGGTTCTGAGCTTCCATCTCTACTTTGGCGCAGCTCTAGCTGTGGGTGTGGGGTGGGGAATTTCAGGAAGTGAAGTAGAAGATGCAAAATCTTGAGTTTATTCTCTCTCCATGTCCCTCCCTCTTTCTCTTTCTGTTACTATACCTTTTCACATAAGTAAAACTAACTGTAAAAAGAATCTTCCATAAATGGGGCTGGAATTCTAGCAGAGTGGCTAAAGCCTCTTCCTACAATGCTATATCCCGTATGTGCACTGGTTTGAGTCCCCGGTGCCATACTTCTTATCTAGCTCCCAGCTGATGGCCTGGTAAAAGCAGAAAATGACCCTAATTACTTGAGTCCCTGCCCCCTATGTGGGAAAAAGCTCCTGGTTGTGGCCTGGCCATTGTGTACATCTTGGGGTGAGCCAGTAGATAGAAGTTCTGTTTCTTCCTCCCTCTCTTTCTTACTAGAATTCTTTGAAAGAATTAAATAATTAAAAAATAATAATGAATAAATAACAGGTCTGCTGTGGTAGCCTAGTGGCTAAAGTCCTTGCCTTGCAACCATTAGGATCCCATATGGGTGCCAGTTCATATCTTGGCTGCTCCACTTTGCATCCAGCTCCCTGCTTGTGGCCTGGGAGAGCAGTCAAGGACGGCCCAAAGCCTTAGGATCCTGTCCCTGTGTGGAAGACCTGGAAGAAGTTCATGACTCCTGACTTTAAATCATCTCAGCTCTGGCCATTGCAGCCACTTAAGGAATGAAGCAGCATAAGGAAAGTCTTTCTCTCTGTCTCTCCTGTGTTAGTTTCATTGAAAGACAGATATACAAAGTAAATACATCTTTACCAAAAAAAAAAAAAAAAAAAAAAAAGGTGTCCATAAGCAACTACTGATAGAAAAACTTTAAAGTGCAGTTGTAGTTCGTATATTATCTCTGGAAAATGATCTGTGACCCTTGTTCGCCCTTCTCCCTACCTATCTGCACCAAATGGTCCTCCTTCACCACTGTTTTGTCCTCCATATCACCCAAACATGACCCCCCTGAATTTTGTCTGTCTTCTCTACCATCTGGGCTGTGATGTGGTCTTAGTGCTGTGCAATTCCCTGATGAGACCGTTGCTGGAACTCAACAGTTATTTGGTATATAAATCAATGACTGAATGGAGATAACAGAATTGAAACATAGGAGTTATCTAAACACTGATTTGTAACTCATTTCCCAGTATTTTATAATGCATTCTGATTTTTGTCAAATATTTGTGGAAGGGTAGAAATGCCCTTATTTTGAGAAGGGTACATTGGCTTTGTAGTAGCTATAATAGGACTAGGATTAATACTTAACATTTCTTGAGGAGTGAGTTAATTGTATACTATTAGAAGCTCCTCTCCTGTCTTTATAACTGCTTATGCTGTGGATACTGCTAACTGTATCAGCCATGTTTTAAAGATAAAGAGACTGAACGACTTACCTGAGTCACCACAACTACTTGTTCAGACAGCCATTCTCACATGAGCCACCTTTAGGGACGAGGCTGCTTGGATAGCCTGAATACATCACTGATGTCCTTCCCACGAGCACCTTAAGACACACTGCGATGATGAATCAGGAGAATGCCAGTTTTCAGCCTTTGGTTTGGCAGCCACCATAGTCCCTGTGAAATCCCTTTTCTTTCATGTCTGTGTCTTTGTAGCATGCACATGTTTTTCTTTCCATTTCTAGCTGTTAGTGTTTTATAACCTGAGGAGCTTGAAGAGGCAGCTGCATTGTTAATGTAAGCCATTACCACCAAGATTTCTTCTGTTTTAGAACCTCATCATTTGCTACAAGTTCTGGTTTAAGTTTTCCTCACATCTTACTGCTGACAGTTTTAGCTGTCTCCTGGGTACTGATGGAGATATGATGGTTTCTGTCATTGTCTAAGATCATTTGCTGTTTTGTGTAGTACAACTTGCTCACATAGGTTCACTCTGCTTCCACTCTGTTTCTGGCCCCACTGGGCTATAAAATCATTTGTGGCCTGCGAAAGCAGTGGAGCCTGGCCGAAAGCCTTGGGACCCTGAACCTTTCTTGGAAACCCAGAGGAGGCTCCTAGCTTCCGATCTGCTCCGATCCTGCCTTTGCAGCCATTTGGGGAGTGAACCATTTGGGGATTGAACACCTTTCCCTCTTTGTCTCTCCTTCTGTCATATATCTGCCTGATCAATAAAAATATACGTTTTTAAAAAATGAATTTGATACCACTAGGACTTTAAGGATAGCAAAATAGCAGTTCTCAATCATTTGCTTTTATTAAATCAATGCATTAAGGTTGCGTTTTTTTCACTAAGAAGAAAATTATAAGCAGGGATTCTTTTGTTAACTTGGAGAAAAGTGTATTTTTCTCGTCATCACTGCTTTCCCTTGCTGATGATAGCAATTTATAGTGCTTTTCTTATGGGCTTTTTTTCCTGAGCTCTTGTTTTGAAGCATGGATATGAGCAAGTTTTACAAACCATGAGTCACAGCCAATATCAAGACATATTCTGGGGGCTACTGTTGTACTTCAGTGGGTGGAATTAGTATCTGTGAAGACAGCAATGCATAGGGGTGCTGGTTTGTGTCTTAACTACTCCACATTGAATCCAGCTCCCCGTTTATGGCCCAAGCACTTGGTTTCCTGCCACCCACATGGGAAATCTAGATAAAGTTCTGGCTTCTGCTTGGCCTGTCCTTGGCCATTTCAAAGAGGTATGGACCAGCAGATGGAAAATCTCTCTCCCTCTGTCTAATTCTGACATTCAAATAAATAATAACTAGCTTTAAAAAGATTTAGGAGACAGAATATCTTTCAATTTTTTGAAGATTTATTTATTTTTATTAGAAAGGCAGATGTACAGAGAGAAAGAGATACAAAGACCTTCCAACTGCTGATTCACTACTCAAGTGATCATAATGGCCTGAGCTGAGCCAATGCAAAGCCAGGAGCTTCTTCAGGGTCTCCCATGCAGGTGGAGGGTCCCAAGGCTTTGGGCCGTCTTTTACTACTTTCCCAGGCCAGAAGCAGGGAGCTGGATAGGAAGTGGAGCAGCTGGGAAATGAAGTGACACCCATTTGGGATCCCAGTGCTAGAAGTGAGAGGATTACCCACTTGAGCCATCACACTGGGCTGTAAAGCTACTTTGGCCAAAGTTTTTGTGTGTGTGTGATCTGGTAGCTATTTGGAAATTAAGCATTTGCTAAGCACAGAGTTTATTGTGGCCAAAGCCGAGGCTAGACTTTCGATCTTCACCTATCCACTTCAATGTTCTTTCTGTTGCTCTATATCTTTGAAGTGTGTTTAGTTGAGATAGCCTATAACACACCTTAAGAAAATAAGTTTCTGAAAAATTTTATAATAAGAACTTATTGGAAGCTGGAAATCCTAATAAACTCAAGTTTCAAAGAAAAAAACTGTCACACATACACACAGTAGCTTTTCAAGAAGCTGACATAAAGGTATAGGCAAATTACATTTTCTAGCCCAATATAATACTGCTCTAAAATTAAGTTTGAAAAGTTCAATAGCATCAATTGTATAGTGTGTAAGAGGAGTTACTACTTACAGAAACTCGAGAAGACCAATAATCTTCCAGTACAATGAGCTAGTGTCCAAATAACACATTGGGCAATACTGGGGCTTGAGATTTCAATACATGGCTTCAACCTAGAGCACTCTATATAATAAAGGTTAAATCTCTGTTGAGCTAGATCAAACTGGAAACCCTTAACAATATGGTTTCCTGTTTATATTTGTCACTTGCATTTTCTTTTATAGATAAACTTTAAGTTAATCATTCAGTTCTACTAAATTATCATAAATGTTTAAATAAATAAAGTTCCTATAATCAAGACTAATTCCTGGAAATTTAGGGAAAAGTGAGTACATCATCCTGATATATTGAACTGGTTTTCACAGGTATTCTTCATCACTTGTCTTAGCAAGACAAACATTTTCATTTACTCTGGGTGATTTTTTGATAAATTCATCCTTAACTTCTAATCTCAGTGCATTCAAAGGGTTATTCAGAAGGCAGCCTTCTACATCTGCCTAGGCATGTTAATAGTCCCTTCTCTGTGCTTCAACAACATTCAATACAAGTCTCCATTATTCTGTTTTTTGCATTCACTAAACCCATTTTTGTTCTTGTGTTTAATTCCTCCATTAGCCTGTAAGTAACTGGAGGCAAGAATTGCTTGTAAAAGAGTATATTATTTATTTTCCTAGCACCTGGCATAATGCTTGGTGTCTAAGGCTTGGGATACTTTAAACACGCAATCATAGTTTAGTAAATATGGAACCAACCTGGAAGCAGATCCTGGTTTTTTGCTTGTTTTGAGCTAGAGAGGTAGAACAAGATGTAGAAATCTCCCATTCACTTGATCTGCTCCTGCAGTGTACATAATAGCTGGGGTTGGGCCAGCCTGAAGGTAGGAACTCACTGTGCCTCGTATAAGTGCCATGATTTGGGACATTACCCACTACTCCCTCGGATGTGCATCATCAGGAAGCTAGAAGGAACAGAGCCAGAACTTGAAGTCAGGGTCTCACAGCTGAGAAGCAGGCATCCCAAGAGGCCTCCTCCGGGTCTCCCACACAGGTGCAGGGTCCCAAGGCTTTGGGCTGTCCTCGACTGCTTTCCCAGGCCAAAAGCAGGGAGCTGGATGGGAAGCAGGGCTGCTGGGATTAGAACCAGTTTCCATATTGGATCCTGGTGTGTTCAAGGTGAGGACTTTAGCTGCTAGGCCATCACGCCAGGCTCCAATTTGGGGAACTTTAAAGTCTGAACTGAATTGATAGCTGAAAGATGTGCATTCTTATACTAAAGAAGCAGAGCCCAACCAAAAGAAGCCAGAAGCTTCATCCAGTTCTATGGTCTGGGCATTAGCAACCTTTACTTCCTGCCTGAGCTCTGAATAAATCCTGAACCCGAGACAGAACCCGACTTCAGTAGTTCATGGTCCAAGGAAACCATCTGATCGTTGCTAGGATCTCAGCACAAAGGGCCGACCAGCACTATGGACAAACATTTTGAGAAGCCCCTTAGGAGGTGGGGTGATTACGCAAAGTTTCTTCGCTGTACCCCTTCTGCTAAATATCTGCACGTCCCCTTTGACAGAGTCCCTAGTCCTGACTTTGCTACCCTTTCAGATACAGTACTGACAGACCTTCTCCCTTAAGACTAGGGGAACACAGTGAAGTCCTGCTACAGATCAGGAATGAAGTCAACTCTCTCCTGCAGCAGCTGAACATCAGTGTAACTTTAAACAAGATCAGTGGTGAATGAGATGGAAAATGCTAGGAACAAAAGTGAGCCCAGAAGCTGTAAGAAAAGGGGAAGCAGGGGAGAATTTTAACTTATGTAGTAGCTCTAAATTTCTAGGTTAATTATCTTCTACATTCATGCATGCACTTTGCTATTTTCTTTATTAGAATCCGTATACCAGTCACTGTGCTAGCCATTGGGAACAGAACTTTAAGACAGAAACAGTATCGTTTTTTTCTCTTTTATGGAGGCTGAATTCTAGTGGGAAAGGCAGATAAGATAGTCACAGATTGGTGCTGGTGTTGCGGCATAGCTGGTTAAGACACTACCTGTAACACCAGCATCCCATATGGGTACTAGTTTATGTCCTAGTTGTCCTACTACCAATCTAATCCCCTGCTACTGTACCTGGGAAAGCAATGGAAGATGACCCGAGTCCTTGGGCCTACAACTACATGGCACACTTGGCCAGAACTCTTGTTCTTGGCTGTGGACCTGCCCTGCCCCTTATAGTCATCTGGAAATTGAACTACTGGATAGAAAATACCTTTCTGTGTCTCTCTGTCACTCTGTCTTTAAAAAAAAAAAACAGATTTATTATTTTAACAAAAAAAAAAGATTCTGATTGATGTAATAACAATACAAAACAAGTGGTATGTTAGCAAATCAGGAGGTTGTGGAATCTAAGCAGATCTGGCAGGGCCGGTCCAAGGCAATGACATTTCTGCTGAGGATGAGGATAAAGGATGAATAGGAGCCAAGGCAGAAGGAACAGCAAATGTAAAGACAGCAAGAGCTCTTATGTTTATATCTCACAACAGTTGATGAGGTCATTATTCTTTCTTTACTACTAAATGAATAGATTCCTACAGAGGGGGTGTCTATACACGTTTTGCCTGGCCGCATCCCTTTCTTGTAAGAAGGCAAAGTTTCTTTGGCCATCTTAGCCTTAGGCTCCTCTTACATAAGTGGAAACTAAAAACTAATCTTTCAGAGGGATCTTATAGTTAGTCAATAAACTAACTAGTATCACGCTGAACTCTACCAATTTCCATCACTTTTCAGCTCACACACTATTTGCTGTCTTACACAGCTAGGCTAAAAGAGCCCATAAAATGTCCAGGATATGAAGTAATTATTTGCTGGCCACGAATTTCTGAGCCAAGTTCTAGGGGTCACCTCAATTTCAGTTCAAATAGTCCATTTAGTGTTGGTAAAGGTCTAGAGTGATCTGATGCCCTTTAATTGCAAGCACAGTTGATGTAGGAACACAAGTATCTTTCAGTGAACATGGGGTTGACCTGATCACTCAAGTCAGCTGGAAAGAAGTCAGCAGTGCATTGCTTTCTCTGACACCAGTGAACACTGTTTGTCCTCTATGATGCAGTGGAAACAGAGAGGAACTGGCCTAACCTTCACTTTCCTTTGCAACTAAAACTGAAAACTTTGATTTTCTTAATGGTGTCCTGGGGAGTGTGACCTAAACCATAATTAACTGACAAGCTCCTGAAGTCCATGGACTGTTCTTAGTAGTAGAAGTTCACACATTATTGCTATAGCACAATGCCAGACAAAAATAAAATGCTTCATAAGGGTCGTTATGAATTGCCTCTTTCTTAAACCCAGTGTTTTCAATAAAAGGTAGCACATTTGATTTTGTGGCATGGCTGAGAGAAAGAACACCAAATTTCACAATGAACAGAGTTAATCTCTCTACACATCAGAACGTATTTCTATCAAATGATCTAACTGCTGGAAAATAGAGGAGTTACAAAATTCATCTTATTAATAGCAATGTGAAAAAAATATATATAAAGGAGAGCAGGAATCTTTTCCCACCTTAAAAGATTTATGGAAACAGTCATTTTCCTGTCTTCTCTCACCCACACTTCACTGCCAGATGTCCTCTCTTCCTTGCATAACTACAAGAAAAAAAGCATGCATGCATGAGTGCACTTCGTGCCATAGGTTCCTATTGCTGAGGTTAATCTTCAATTGATGGAAGGTCACTGGAAGCATTACGTCAAAGTCCTAGCTCACAGGGCTCATGCTGCCACATACTCTAATCTTCATTTTCTCCCTTTAGTTGGAGTAATTTTCTACTTCCCATTTTTTATAAGCTATTTTCTAGTGTTCCCTGGGGAAATATGCCCTTTGACTTCTAGCCAGAGGTTTTTGCCTAAAATATAAACCACACAAAACTAAAATTGGGAACACATTTGTTCTTTTCCAAGCTAAGCTAGACTGCTAATGTTTATTATTATTATTATTATTATTATTATCCCATAACTAATACCAGTCTTCATTTGAAAGCCTTTGTGTGCAGTATCTTTCTATATCCTGAAGGGAGAAAGAAGGACAAGATAGGACGATTTTCAGAATTTGTAACACACTGAACTCAGTACATACAAAGAAAAGAATATTAGCCTTGCCAAGTGATATGTCCTTGCCTTAAAAGATGTGTGCCACAAATGCCATTCACACTTCATTGGTGAAACACAAAAGACTTGTCCAGGCTGCAGCAACTGAAGAAAAACTAGGTGTGCTGCTGTGAGGAGCTGGGCCCTAAGGTCTGGGTAATGTTTATGTAGCCAATGTTTGGAGATGGAGAGGAGGGAAACCTATACGCAAGTGTTGAGCCTCATTAGAAGGAAGCGCTCTTTACAATCTGCTCAGAACAGAAACTTGCGTGTGCTCAGTTCATTCCTTCTGCCACACATGCACTGCACCCAGTTGGAGGGTTTTACGAATGAACAGTGAAAACAAGCTGAAGCCTAAGTAGCCAACATGTCGTATTGAAAGACTGATCTAACCCAGATGAAGCTAGATTCCCTCTCACAACTGCACCACAGTGGGTATCCTGGGATGACAGGCTCCTAGAAGAAAAAATTATTTCGGATGACAAATCAGGAGAAATATCGCCCCCCCCCCCCAGGTTACCATTCATGTTGCAGGTACATCTTTATTATTATTTTTTTTTTGCCTTGGATCTAGTTGCTTATCACTATCATTTATGATACAGTTCCATAGGTCCTAGAATTTCCCTTACTCGCTCCCTAAGTCCTCTCTCCCCCACACTCTGAGTTCCCCTATATTACTATAGTATAGTTTTTCATAAACTGTCATATGTCCATCATTGTGGGCATGGACAGTGGCAGGTAATCCAGTATTCTATTGTCAAGATATAGTTAACAATTTCATTGGGAGTCCATTTTTGATCTGGAAGTAGAGATGCATACTGCATTGTATCCTCACATCTGGATATGATAGTCTCAATTACACAGTTACTATACATCTCCTTAAATGAAAAACCACAATACTAATCAACAACAGGAAGAAAAATAGAAATTTACAACACCATGAGGTTAAATAACATGCGACTGGATATGATAGTCTCCATTACACAGTTATTGTACATCCCTTAAATAAAAAGTCAAAAAACAAAATCAACAAGAGAAATAAAAATTAAAAACATAATGTTAAATAACATGCTACTAAATGACTATTGTGTTGCTGAAAAATGAAAAATATCAAAAACCTTCTTGAATGATGCTACTTATATGATCTGAGTCAGTGAAGAATGTAATAGGAAAATTGTTTTGAAGAAATGAAACTAAAAAACATCAAAATCCATGAGATATAGATTCTGCTGATCTTTGTTGGTGAGATATGTCTCCTGTAGGCAACAAATAGATGGGTTTTGTTTTAATCCAGTCCACTAAATCTATGATGGTTGATGAATTTGAGCCATTTACATTCAGGGTTATATGAATGGGTGGTAATTTGGTCCTGTCATTTTCACAATGGGTTGTTCATTGATTTAGTCTTCTGTTATTTTACTGGGATGGTCTTCACATTTGTGTTTGGTTTTGTTGGGTGCTATTCCTCTTCTATCACGAGAATGTCTTTAAGTATCATTTGTAGGGCAGGTTTGTAGGTGGCATATTTGTTTAACTTTTCTTTGCTGTGGAAGAATTTTATTTCATCTTCAAAGACAAAGGAAAGCTTTGCTGGGTGCGTTATCCTGGGCCGACAATTTTTTGCTTTTAGAATCTGGAATATGTCACTCTTCTGGCCAGTAGAGATTCCTGTGAGAGGTCTCCTGTGAGTTTAATTGGCATTCCTTGATATGTCAGTTGATTTTTTTTCACATGCACATTTAAGGATCATTTCCTTATCTTGGATTGGAGAGAGCTTGATGATCACGTGTCTTGGTGAAGATTGCTTTTTGTCAAGCCTGTTTGGAGTTCTGTGTCCCTCCTGGATGTTGTTTCCCACTACTTTTTCTAGATCAGGGGAAATTTCCCTTATTATTTCATTAAATATATTTGTTAACCCGGTTTTTCTTTCTGCACCTTCTGGGACTCCACTAACTTATATTTGGCCCCAAGCCTGCCTTCACGGAAGAGATTAGTAATATCCTGTTTGCACCAGTAGGTGGCACAACTCCCAGCACCAGCTGTTGTGAGGTCAAATGTAGCTGCAAAACTTCCACAGCTACTAGAGAAGGCCTGTTTACTGAGAGCTCTGGAGGCCCAGTTATGGAGACACCTGGATGGTCAACAGTGATCGGACAGGGAGTCAGGCAAGGGAAAGGAGTAAATACTAGAATAAAATGTACCTGCTGGGTCTGGGATAAAACGCAGCACCGTCTCCTACAAATGACCAAACAACAACAGAAACCCATGGACCCTGCTTCCTGTCTTTGTCTTGGGCCTTACTTCAGAAATAGTGCCTTGTATTGATTTGACTGTCATTGCATTCATTCAGCATAAGATCCATTATGTTCACTGTGAATGTGGGGGCTATAATAGACTGCACTGCTTTGTTTTGCATTTAAGGTGGCAAATGATTTCCCTTAATGATCTGCATAATCTTCATCTTCATAGTCTCCCCTCCCCGCCCCCCGCCGATGTTTTTCTCCTTGAGGTGGACCAGTGCTTCGGATAATGAGCTCCCCTTTAGCGTTATGATTTTGTTACACTTTATTACTTCCTTTAGCCACATAATTCCCTGAGCTCTTTACAAAAACAGCTATTCAGTTTGTGCAGCAATTGTGGTGTTTGGGATCAGTTGAGTCACTTAAACAGCAAAGTGAATGGAGCACTCCTTTAAGCTAAAATTCTGCAAGCACTAGTGGACCAGCAGAACCAAACTCCTGAATTTTGATGGGGGAATAAACTTTTAAGGTTTTAGAAGAGCTTCCAGGATCTTGGCGAGAGCATTATTTTTTTTCCCTTCTAAAACATGTAGATTGTGTTTTATTTGGCTGGGGGTGGGGGTGAACTATATAAATCTTACCAATATTTCTCAATAGGATTCTTCCAAAAGCCATTGATTGTGCAAGAAGGCAGTGAAGGAGAACTTTCAAATTGTAAGAATTATTGTAAACTATTATTTACCCTTGTAAACCACAAACTCCCCGATTTCTTTTTTTTTTTTACCCGCATTTCTTTTGTAACCTATTTGGAAGGGCCATCACTGGCAGCCCTGACCTTGATTTGGTTTTGATTGAACACTTCAGATATAAGAATAATGAGACTAGAGGGTAGGTTCCTGATGGCCCTGAGGCTACTATGAAATAGGTGTCATCAGAGCCTCTACTCGGGGTCGGTTTCAAGACCAGCCACCACTGTGTACCCAGGATATGTGACACAGTTGGCGTCAGTACTGCTGTAGGAGTTGTGCAGCGTGAGGCCATGTCTGAGGCAGAGGACTTTATTTCTGTACCAGGATTCATCTCGGCTCTAGTAAATTGCTACTTGTCCTTGGACAGTCATATAACCTCGGAATTGCCTTACCTACAAGGAACCCCCCATGGTCATTTCAGTTTCTGAAATGACATCACACTCATGTTATATTTTCCTAGTATTTCTTTAGAAACGTGTTTCCAAAATAGTTCAGCTATAAGAAAAAGTGAGTACAAGCACACATTCTTGTAAAAGGAAATTGAAGTATACTAAGCACAGATGTTAGAATTAAAAGCCTATTGTTTCAAATATCTAATTTTTCCATGAATTCAGTGCTTTTGCATACACATAATCAAAGAAAGAGGCAATAGAAACAAAAGCATGCTCGAATAATATATCATGGGAACTGAAAGAGCTTTAATTTTGCTCAAGATTTGTGTGCTTATCAACAGTTTAGGACACAGTTTGGAGTACCTTGATTTCTAGAGCTCAGAATGGGGAGGAATACCATGGAAAGACCCCATACGGATTCATTTAGTTGCAGCAGGAGAGACAAGAGCCTCCTGGCAATAGGAACACACATGATTCCCTTCCAAATCAAGAATTCTGCTTAGGACCAGCTTTATCAAGGACCGTTCTGGCTAACATCTTGCGCAGCCTTTTGCATTCCCAACCCCATCAGTTAAAACTTGTCCATGTTCAGTGCAGCTAACGTCACTTGTGAGCTGAAAATGGAGGTAGACTATGTTCACTTTCAAACATAAATAGTATGTGATGAAGGGGTGTGCATTGAGATACAGGGATACTGGAGTTTAGTTCTGTTTTCTGGAAAATAAAGACTCTCTAAATGATACCTTTAAGAGAAACACTGTTTTGAGTATTCTGCTTTTTTCTCTACAGAAAAAGGTGGAGGGGGGTAGAGCTTAAAATGAATTGTAAATTCACAAAGTTAAAAGGTCAGTGTAAAGAATTCCTTGACTTCATTAGTTTTAAAACATGTGAACTTTTTGCTTTAGAAAGTTAGAACTTTGTTTTCTCGAAATTTTTTTAGAAACTAAACTTTTTTTTTTTTAAACTTTGTTTGCCCATGATTCTAATGAACCCGTAACAGCCAATCTCTGGTATTCCTGTTTACTTCCTTTCCAGGGTTAGCTGACTTACCCGCTACTCTGTGCATCCATAATGTCTTAACACATAGCGCAGAGATTAAATGGTCATTTTGTTGTTTCTCT